ATAACTAAAAATATAATCTGTTTAAAAAAACCTTATTTAATTTAATAATAAAATTTGAGCCAATCAAAATTAATCACATCATTGATAATTAGGAAATGATCTACATAAAAATTGACCAATCATACAAATGTCTGCCATGCTATCTCCTACCCTCTGTGATGAATCATTCTCAACTACAATATACTTAAAGCATTCGCCTGATTCTGGGATTTCATAAAGATAAGGCTTAGGTGTTAAGCCCTTTTTTATGTATTGTTTGGCATCTGCTTTTTCATAGGTATGTCTATCTTGCATTCGTGAAATGAAATACTGGACACTCTTGTTATTTTTATCAGGCTTCCACATAGCAGTTTTAACCATCCCATTAAGGTCTATCTGTAAAATATCATTTATGATCTCTTTAAGTACGTCCTTCACAATCTGATATAAGGTACGCGAATTATCTACCTTCATAGATTTATCCATAACCTTCTTACCTATCTCACAAAAGTGTTTAGACTGCCTTCGCTTTACAATCTCAACCCTTCAAATAAAAAGCTTATTATTAAAGTTGGATTCTCTTCTATGTGGAATACCATAGTATTTTTTCTTTCCTATAAATACTACCAGAAATAAGACTTTCTCATATGACCTTTTGAGATAAAATGATCCATTATCATTTCTGAGAAAGTCATTAACTTCATTATGAAATCTTTCTATTACTTCTATAGAGATGTTCACCATTCTAGACCAATATTCTTCTTTTAAGATCCCATTACCATTGTTATATGCTCATCACATTTCTGAAAGCATTCTTCTGGACAGACAAGGTATAATGAATCTGTATTCCCGTATTTTACACTGAATTTTTTACTTCTAATAAGATTAGTAATAAGCTTGATATTCCGCTGTCCAGCTGATATTACCCCGCCTGCTAATGCTCGCAAAAAGAAAAGGGATCTACTATTCCCAGCTTCACCATAAAATGTATTCATATACACTTTTAAAGCGAACTGTTTTGCGTCTAGACAAGCGATATTAAAGACAACTGAAGAGTATTCAGATTTTAAAGTATTTGTAACAACTATACCTCTTTCTTCTGTCAAATTAATCTTCTTTTCTAATTCTTTTTTTTTATCATTTAATAGAGCAAGACGACTTTTTAGCGAATTTCGTCTAATACGCAACTCCTCTAATACTTTTGGATAAAGTCCTTTCATTTCAGCTTGGTTTCTATGCTCTATAGACTATGCGAGAATATCGCAACTATTGAATTTGAAATTAATTTTCTGAAGCTTTTTACTACTTTCCTTTAGAGATTCAGTACACTCTCGAGATAAAATGATTTTATCAGGTGAGAGATTGTATGTTATGATAAGGCATGGATATAATAATGCAAAATCTAAGCCAGTTACAGAACGTTTATTTTCAAGACCCTTTACTGGTGAGAAAACATAGGTCCCAGGGAACTTTCCTGTTTCCATTTGTTTACATGGAAGATTACGCACTTTCATTCCTACTGCAAAATAATGTGAATCATATAATGATATGAAGGCTACAGATGCTACCTCCTTGTATTCGTTAATTGCATTACGCTTTATCATTAACGCTAATAGCTAATAGCATTAATAATACAATATTTGGCTACTTCGCGTATCTGCTTAGCTGTTGTAGCATTTGTTTCATTTAATGCCTTTTCATAATATTTGTTTATATGGTGAATAGGCATATCCAATTTACTTTTGAGCCCAGATTCATTTAAGTAAAATGCCAGGCTACTCCTTTCAGCTTTGGGATGAAATCTCATAAAACAGGGTCGAACGTCAATAGCTACACATCCCAGAATTTTAAGATGCTTTGAATGAAATTGTCTATCATTAACCTTTATCGCATTATATTAATATTGCCATTTTAAAATTTTCTCAATACCAGATGGTTTGATTGACATATGATTAAACATCCATTCAAGAACTCCCAACTTCTTAGCTTTCTCCACAATAAATCGCCAATCATATTAAGAATCGTTAAAGCCTATTTGTATATCTGGGGCTAAAAGTATACAGCATAAGGCGAATGCTTTTAATTAATTAACTTAAGATTCACATATAATCGTAATCAACCGTGGGTCTGGTGCAGTTTCAATGTCAACAAGACAGATTTGCTTTAACGGTTCAGGATCGTCTTTCTAATAAACTGTCATACAAATCATAAACACAATATCTTCTTCGTATTTTGCATTAGATACATCACCCATTTTTCGTGAGCTATATGTTTCGATATCATATGTGAGAATAAGAGTGCGATCCTGTGAAAGTGCTGAAAAAAATAATGGATTATTATAATTGTCTTCACTGATTGGATTGTAAATATTCACATATACTTGGAAGGAATAAACATTTGCCGATGAATTTCCTTTGTATAAATAGTTATTTAGTACTGCCCAGCTTAAAAAAGGTAATCTTTTCTCACAGGTTACTTTGCGATAATAGTATGTAGGATTTAGTTCATCAGAAGCAGTGCTAATACCAACTTCACGAACTATTTTTAATGCCATAAATCAATCAAAATGATTCCAAGTAGTAACACGTCCATATAGTTTCTTTTCTATATAATACCCTTGAAGTGGAAAAGTGCTAATATGCTCAATCCCAAATTTTGATGTGCCTTTAAGGGTATTAGACAGTATATTTACTAATCTGGTCTTAAATGTAGGTAATGATGTCTCTTCAGGTACTACGACATCAAAGAAAGGTTTAATGCCTATAACATTTATGATAGCCTTTTGCCTATTAATCAAATAACCACTAATACGCAAAATATAGGTGAATACTCCATTAATGTATTTGGCCTCATCACTTATAGCAGTAGGCATGAAATGTATGGGTAACTTGCTGGATAGGCTTTGTTGAAGTATAGTGGTCATCTTATTATTGAATTCTACCACAATATTATTACGTGATGGGCTACCAGCTAAAGATTTAGCGCTGTCATAGTAGGCAAGCGTTGGGCCAGATCCAGTGCGATCAGTTTGATCAAAAATAGTTGGGGTATACATGTTGTCAGTTTGAAAAGTTATACTAATTCTATAAAATCAGAAATGTTTAATTTATTTTTTTTCGATGGTTGAAAAAAGAGGTTTATAGTACAATTGGCAAAGAATAAAAAATAAATGCATTCTTGATAGATATAATCTAGGGTATTCTTCTCCATATTTATTATATAAAATATTGGAAGAAGAATACCCTAATACTAGTATGTACGTATTACCTGACGAATTATCTGCAGAAGTTATAACGAACTTAGTGAGCAAATTATAGAATAAAGGTATCTACCTGTATCTGAAAAAGTGTAACCTTCTCCGTAATTATATTATATAAAAATAAGAGAAGGCTACACTTTTCTAGATGTACTTGAGTATGGTGAACGCTTCTTTAACGCAAATTCTATGTCTCGATATATGCAAAGCAGGCATATAGCAAGATGGAAAAAGAATACCCTAGCAGATAGTATAAATTAAAGGTAGCCTTCTTCAGAATCTTTATATGAAATAATGGAAGAAGGCTACCCTATCACTAGTATGTACTCAGATGTGGTATGAAGTCTTCTCCGTAATTATATTATATAAAAATGGGAGAAGGCTTCATCTTTCTAGATATGTGTTCAGTTATGGTATAGTCTTCGCATAAGACTTATTCGCTTAATGTTGGCCAACACTATTCTATAATTTTAGCTGGAACTTTAAGCGTAATAATTCATCATCCAAGCTGGCATAAAACTGGCAAACTAATAGAACTTTTCTGGCTTTCTGCCAGTTTCTCGCCAATTTCATAACAGCTCCACAGTAGTTCCAGGATACTATCAAGTCACTATCATGACGCCAAACTGGATCCTCAAATCATGTACTCTAAAGATCAGCTAGAATTATGATATAATGTCAGCTGAAATTAATTGCAAATCCACTGTATTATCGTCGCCTCTTTTTTTATACCATTCCAGTATTTTAAAAGGCAACCAAAAATGCGCAAAAAAGAAGAACCCTCGATATTTTAACAGGCTACCAAACAGGCACAGAAGCAGGTAGATAAATGGATAGCTCTTTAGGAATAAAAAGAATGTAGAGTAATGTAAACACATAAATAGTTCCTTGATGAAAAAAAGGTCGTAAATAAGCAGAAAAATACACTCCATCAGATTATAAGACTACCGTTAGATTATATAATAATCACACTAATAGATCATATCACCATCAGCCTATCATAACATTATATAGCAGGAATTAATTAAAATAGTAGTTAGAAAGCCGTAAAGATAACTAAAATAAAGGTTATGGAACTACATTAGATTATGACATTAGGTTATGACATCACCATCTGGTTATGACGCCACCACTAAATCATGACATTACAGAGGGTGATTACGGATACCCGAACGATTAATTAAACTATTTGAATATACTTATTATATTAACATTTTTTTAGAATAAGCAAAAAATTTATTTGTTCTGAACATTTTCTATATATTTAATTAAAAAAAAAATAATAAACTAATACTTTGTTGAACCACCTTCGGCTGCTATACATGCTTGAATGCGATGGAGCATACTTTCAACCAAATTTTGAATATACTCAAGTGGAATTGAACGCTAAGCATATTTTACCTTACGTTCTAAATCTTCCACATTTTTAGGTTGATTAGGCAAGTTACAAAGTTTCTTATCAACTTTATTCCAAAGATTTTCAATATGATTTAAATCAGGGCTTTGTGCAGACCAGGGTAGCATGGAAATCTTAAAGGTGTTATGAACATCAGCGGCAATCTTTGCTCGATGAGGTAAGGCATTATCCTCTTGAAAAATTCCTTGTTTGCGAGGAACTAATTTGTAAATTGAAGGAATAGCATATCTCTGTAACACTTTTGCATATCTTTGTCCTGTTACAGATTCGCGAAGAGGAACAAGAGGTCCCAGCCCATACCACGAAAAGCATCCCCAAAACATTCGACTGGGACTGTGCTTTACTGTAGCAGTTAAACAAGAAGGGTCAAATTCTTCTTCTGGTGTACGCCACACACGTAAGCTACGACCTTGTGAAAATTGGCTAAATGTTGATTCATCAGACCATACAACTTTTTTCCATTTTGCAATTGTCTAATCTTCTCGTTCCAATGCCCAAGACAATCTTTTTTCTTTATTATTTTCAGAAATTAATGGTTTAGAGCAGACAACACATGAACGTAAGCTGACTTTTTTAAGAATCTGACGAATTGTAATAGTTGAAACTTTTTTTTTTTTAGTCCATAATTCTTGAATTTTTTGAGTGGTAAGGCAACGATGCTTCGAATTTGTATAACAATCTTTTTGAGTGAAGATTGTGCATTTGAATTAAAAAGTGACTTCGGGTCACAACGTTTTTTTGATATTGCAGAACCAGTTTCTTTAAAACGTTTTATCGCATCATGGATAGTTGTTTTACCACATTGTACAATGTCAGCAATTTTTTGATATGAATCACCTCGTTTGTGGCCGTAAAGAATTGCCCTATATTATTCAGCATTCAATTCTTTTATTTTAACCATTTTTGTTTGAAAGAAAATTATTTGTTATTATTGTGATCGACATCCATTTATATTCTAAACAAATGCTTAAATTAGAAATATATGTAAACATGTAAACAAAGCGAATAAACAAAAAAATACTTATCGTTCGGATACCTGTGATCACCCTCTGTAGATCATACCACCACTATTAGATTATATCATCACCATCAGATTATATCACCGCCATTAGATTACATAAACACTATCATAACCATTAGATTATATTACTACCATTAGATTATATCACCACCATTAGATTGTATCATCACTGTCATAACCTAACTCAAGTCGCTAGAGGTTATTTGATATAATTATATCAAATAACCTCCAGTGACTATTTTAAATATTTTTAAAAATAAATCTTAAAAAAATTTATAATAGATAAATCTAAAGTTTTTTATTAAGTAAAATTTCTAATAATATAAATAAAATTAATAATAACAAAATATTAAAAAATTTTCTTATTTATAATACTTATAAATTAAAATCAAATTTAATACTTATTTTTTAATCTTAAATAAATAATAAATAATTTTAATCATATTATATAAAAATAGCAATAATTTAATTTTTATTATTGGTAAATATGAAATATTGTATTATTTAAATATAATAAAATTTAATATATTATAAAATTTAAATTATTAATCAGACTTTTGAATTAGATTTAGAAATTAATTAACTTAGTTTAAAATATTAAAAACTAATATAAATTTTTTTTTTAAAAAATTATTCTAGTTATACTAGTTATAAGTTGCTTAATATATATTAATAATTGTTTTTTTTTATCTTCAAATTTTTTTCAAAATTAAACCTATAAATACTAAAATAATCATAATTTTAAATGACACTGTGAACGAATAAAATATGATAGGACCTACGTGGCGCAGATGCTCGACAAATCTGACAGATCTGACAAATCTAACATATCCGACATTTCTGACATGTCTGACATATATGACATATCTGACATGATCGACAAATAAGATATA